GCGCAAAAGTACACAGACTTTCGATCGACTCGACAAATAATTTTTCAACAGCCAATGATTCGAAAGGTTGAAAAGTCAACCGCAGTAAACAATTGCCCGTCGGCCCTTAAGTAGATTACATCAATGGGCCGATTGAAAATTTCGATCGAGTCCAGGTATTGGCAAGTTCTGGTCGAATAGCCAGCCCCCCCGCGTGCGAGGCGCAGCATTACAAAAGCATCAAAAGAAGTCTATTGCTATTCTCTCGTCTCCCTCTCTCATGGAGCCTCGTGAAAAGCGTCACTCACTGAAAATGCACACACACATACCAAGTCGTTAACAGCTCCGAACAACGCGGCGCGGTCCTTTGACACGTCGTTTTTCTCGCTTACCTTTGAGCAAACTGCAGTGTACGTACTGCAGCAGCAGCAGCTCGGTAGTATATAAGCTTTACTCGCCCATTGACTCGCGTACAGCTATAAAAAGCTGCGCACAAAAAAAAGCTGCTGCCGAATATAGTAAATGCAAAAGAAGTCGAATCAGCATCGAGGCCCTTTATGATGCTAAAACATCGATCAGTCCCTTCGAATATATACTACCCAACTACTGCTGTTATATACGCTCTCGCAACTGATGAAAAAGAGCGAAGAAAAGAAGTAGAAAGGGAAGCGTGTGAAATATAATTTGCGCGATAAAGAGAGAAAATGTAGCGTATACCCGCGCAAAGTTTCAGTGCATACGCCATTTATATTTATATTGGAGCGCGCAGCGAGTCTATATTCTGTGTATGTATGTGAATGTGTGGCAGCTTCACTCGCTCTGTATATTGCAAAATGTCTGCTGCGCGTTGGAATCGAACGAGAGAACGAGCGAGAGAACTCCGACACCGATCAACCGTGCGCTACCCTCTACACATACGAGGAATTCCGAAGAAGACGGCAGAACTGAAGTTGCATTCGAGCATCTGGCTTTGCCGAGCTTGATTTCATCCTTCATCGATCCGCGCCGCTCGAAGCTCGAAGTAAGACGTTTTTTCTACCCCTTTCCTTCGAGCTTCGCTCCTAAGTATGTGTGTCGATGTATTAAATTCGCGTTTCGTTTGTAATTTTTTTTTGGCCATACCAAAAACGAAGAGTCGCAAAAATTTGGCAGTCAGCAAAGAAAATGCCTTGAGCGAGCTTGCGCAAGCACGACGAAAGCTTCGTCATTTTGTCGACGCTGCCTGCGCCTAGCGCGCCTTGACGAGCGAGGAACAAAGACATTCCCTTGGAATCGAATGAGTGAAAAAAAAGCTTAAGCCTTTCGCGAAATCGCGTAAGATTTCTCTCTCTCTCTATGACGTCGTAAAAATTAAAGCCCTTTTGAGATCTTTCACGGTGGGATCCGGCAATAATTTTTCAATGTAATCCGCGCCGTGCGTTAAAGAAGGCAAGAGTACGTAGGTATAGGATGGTCGCGAGCCTCGAGCGATGGAAATATAATTAAAGCCGCGAGTGTGTCGGCGGCGAGAGAAAGAAACGAGAAGAAAATCAAAGTTATGGCGTGGTAGTAGTCGTAAGAAGAAGCTGTGCGCTGCGCGTCGTTTTAAACGAGAGAGAGAGCGAAAGAGCTTAACGTCAGGCTCGAGCTTTCAGCTCCTCCTCCATCTCTTCCGACTAGATATCACAAAAAAAAAACACGAGTCTTGCGCTCGACGTTGACGCGGGGCGCGCGTTGTTCTTTGTTGCTTGCCCTTTGACTCGTATCATCATCATCATCATCCTCATCCATGGCAGTAGGCGGGAGGAGGGCATCACAAAGAGCGCGTCGGACTAAAAGAGAGAGAGAGAGAAAGATTTTAGCGTGTGCTCGCTCGCGTGTGTATTCACCTATCTACCTACCTAGCTACGTGCAGCAGGCAGGCAGGTAGGCAGGCAACGGAGCACTGCGCGCGATTTCAGCGCACCACTATACGTACGTCTCATTTGCAATATTTAACGAAGGCAAAGACTCACCCGTACGAAGCCGACTGTCGCGTACAGGCAAAAGGTGCAAACGGGCAAACGACTCTTTATGGCCATATAGCCAAAGTCATCATAGCGAAAAGAGACTATTTTATAACGATCTTTTTTTTTGGTTTTTTTCCCCGCGTACCTTTTCTTTTCGAAATTTGACGAAAAACCCATGGACGCGAAGCCCTTCTCATCATTATTTTTGTTACCCAACCGTTGTTCAACTGATTCGAGTGTAATACATCCTCCAAATGCAATCTAACGGGAGCACAATTAATCATTGGCAGCCTCGCAATGACTCGGTTGTGTCGACGCTTCTCGAAGGTCCTCCGTCTACGTGGAAAGAAATTTTTTAAGCAACGTCGAGTCGAATACCCTTTGATCGTTGCTCAGTTATCTATTACAAGGCAAGTGTTGGCTACAAGAGACATAACGTGCCATCGAAAGTAGGCTGCGGCCGTTGGGCGATGGCTCGCTTCTGATTAAATATATTCTTAATCAGGGGGCTTGTCGCACGAACACAGAAAAAAAAAGATACGGTCGTCGTTGGCTAGGCGCGTTAATAAATTCGCTCGAAATGAATGTCTCTCCTCGTCGTCGTCGTCGTATAAGGAGTAAAAGCGTGCTAAAAGTACGCAGGCGAAGCCATCAATCTCTGCTTACACGTGTAGCACCAACTAGAGAGAGAAGTGCCTTGGTATATACGCGCGCACGCTGTACTCGGGGGCGAGGAAGAAGTATCGAGGCTGTGAGCTGCACTAGACTCGCAATATAAGGGACTCTGTAGTACTACTCTCGGGGAGCGACGTCGACAGTGACTAACATCGGGTTGCTGCGGCCGAGTACCCGTTACGTCAGCGGCGACGCGACGAGGCCAAAAGAGAGAGAGACTGACTGCCGCAGCAGCACCACCATATAGATACGCAGTAGTAGTAGTAGTAGTAGTAGTTACTGCGAAGGGGTGTGAGGTGGCTGTCGCGCAGCCCGTCGAGCTCCGCTGCTCTCTCTCTGTGTGGTATGCAATTATACTGGCCGATCGAGCTAGCTAGCTAGCTAGCTAGACCAAGACGAAGCCAGCCAGCCAGCCGACAGTCGTGTACGGCGCCGGCGGATGCGAAATTCGCAGGCAGCCCTCGACGAGCAACTTACCCTCACTCTCGCTCTCTCTCTCTCTCTCTCTCTCTCTATCAATAATCACGAGGATAATGCATTTTCAAGCTTTCAACGCGCTAACTCGATTGCGGTGCTACTCCCTTGCAGTGAGTCGAAGAGCTTACATCTTGCGAGAAACGTCGTAAGTTTTCACTCGCGGTAGTTCCGGAGCTGGCACTTCCACGGCAAAGGAAAAGCTCCGGTGATGGGCACAAAAATGAGCTTTTAAACGCCCAGTAAACTAGCTCGAATTCTTCAATTTTATCAATTCTTTTTTTTCAACGTGAGATAATTATGCAAGTCGTTGCAAAAAGAAATTTCGAAAGTCTTGAATAAAATCTCAGGTAGTGGGGCGCAGCTCATGTCGCAGAGCATTCGAGCTGCGCCGGCGTTGTTGAATTAATCAATGCCTCGTTAAGCGCAACCAGCACCCAAAAAGCGAGAAGAGCTGCTGCTGCTGCTACTGCTGGCCATGGTATATACAACCGATATAATTTACGATTGAAATCGAGCGTATAGCTCTGGCAGCACAAGCTCCTTCCTCGCTCGACAAAAAGCTCGCTTGGAAAATCGAAAAAAGCTTATTCACAAGTGCAGCGGCACGGCTGTATATAGATATAAATATATATTTATATGAACCGGAGGAAGCAACTCGTTAGAAAGCGATCGATCTTGTGCTTGCTCTCGCTCGCGCGCGCACCACCGGTACGGCTTGCTTCGTCGTAGTCGTCGTCGTCGTTGTCGTCTGTGAAACGCTAGGCTTTGAAGCCGAAGGAAATGTCGTCGTCGTCGGCGTCTTTCTAGACTCGCTAAAATAGATTAAATCTGTCAGTAAAGTTGCGCACGGGGGAGGAATTTTCACGGCAGCCCCGGCCGCCGGATGAATGCAACTCGACGTACACGTATACCTACCTATCCTACCTTATACTAGCCTCGATGCTGCTGCACCGCTACACTCACTGCAGTATCTTCTTCTTCTTCTTCCTATACTACTTTTTCTTGCGGTTGCTGCTAACTCTGCTTCGGCTCTGAAGGATTTCTCTTGGCTCAAAAGACGAGCTTGCTTTACTATTACTTACGAGCTTTGATGGAGCGTAAGGTATACAATGTGTGTGTGTGTATCTGTGTGCTGAACGTCAGAGGCCGTGCGGTTGAAGCTGCAGCACCTATGTATTTCTTGAGTAAACGAATTCTCTACGCGCTTCCATCGATTATTTTCATGTTCGATGGGATTTCCTATCAAGCAAAATGTCTCTTAAGTGATTCGAGGCTGACGTTGGAAAATAGACAAAAAAAAGGATCTTTGATCCATCCCAGCAGGTAATGGGATTTGTTACATTTTGTTGTTGAGTTGGAGTTTATTTTTAATTAGTTAGAGCATCTGTCGATGTATTTTACTTTTCGATTTGAAAAAATGAGGACGATATTTTAAGTTTCTTTAATTTAGCCAAGAGTGAATAAAATTGAAACTCATTGAAAGGAAGCGAATACAAACGCATCGTAGTAATTTTAATACCTATTCCAAATGGAACGAGTAATGAGTATTTTCCATGGCGCGTGGCTGCTTAGTTTCGCACAAAGTACAATTGTCATTGATTCACGGAAAAAGATAAACGACGCTGATTCCGGCCGAAGGGAGAGAAAAGTCGCAATCTCCTCCGGCAATTAATTCGTGGAATGACAAGTGAATGCGAGCCACTTTTACTGCTCCGAGTGCTAACACGTGTGTGATGCTGCAGATGTATGTCATAATTATTAATTGCTGCTGCACGTGTCGAGAGCTGCTATCGGAACAAAAGACATTTCCATATTTACAACTTGTTACAAGTTATTCGAATTCGAGGGGTGATGTTTTTGCAAAATAATCAACAGATAAACTTTTTGTGTATCGAAAAAAGAAAACTATTTATTCCTTCGTTAAAATTCACAATTTCGCTCTTTGAGCCATTCGCGTACGAAATTTTCTAAAAATATTTTATCCTATATAAACACAGTTTTTTCGTCGATGCTCGAGCTGTGAAAGCCGACAATGTTCATACTCGAGAGTTTGATCGTCTCCTTTCAAGCAAACGAGAAACAAATTATTCACAATTATTAAGGAAGATAAATTATCAAGCGCTAAAACATTGCACATTTGTCCATCTCAAACTTCGTTTCGATTTACAAAGAAACAACCACACTTATACTTTACATCCTTGTAGGTGCGTATTCAACTATATAATATCTAGACGTAACTATACTCGAAAACTACACACTGCTTGTAATTCATAAAACTGTCAGATTGGATAAAATAGAAAATTTAGCTAAATAAGGCTAGTTTTTTTATATATACAAGTAAATATAGTGTATATCAACCTGCTATTAATCTGAAACTTACATATGGACAACAGAGCTTTAAGAAATCCTAATGTCTCGTTGTTGATATGTATTGGATTTAATCCTTTCAGAGCAGGCTATATTCACTGTATATTTAAAATAAATACTGATATGTACAATTTTTTAACAAGTTTTTAAATGAAATTTAAAATCAAGTCTTTTGGCTCTCATCGAAAGTATATATATATACAATTATATATATCACAGCTTGTTGTAGACGAGTTGTCTGACGTCAGTAGCCCATAAAAAGTCGAAGTGATTGAACTTCGGGTCGTCAACTTTGTTAACATCTATAACATTTGGTAATTCTTTGGCCAAACTGAAGACATTCTGCAACAAGAACAAAAAAATTAATTAATTCTTCAATTCTTGATCTCTTAGTCATTTAACATTTTCATTGTAAATACTTACGTCTGGGTAGGCGATGTCGTCGTTATCGGCATACCAAATGGTAACTGGTACCTTAACCTTGGACAAATCATATTTTGGCGGCTTGGCCGTACCATACTTTTTAAGATTTATTCCCACGCCGTAGTCATATGCCGCAAATTTATCTGAAGTAAATAATAATGCAACGTATTTATAAGAAATCATTAAAATGATAATCAAGATAGTAAACATTAATTTAATATCAACTCACGAGTATTATAATTCTGATTATAATGATAGACGGTATACTTGGAAACTCCAGCTGGGAAATGCTTCATTACATGAGGTAGCAGTGTCTGAAATCAGAAACGAATCATTTATTAATTTTTATTTTGTCGAAAAGAAAAAAAATTATTTGAAAAAAAATGTATTACCTGATTGAATCTACTTTTATCGAGTCCAATAGTTGAAAACAATGTAAAGCAGATTGGTTGAAAGAAGCTACTCTCGTCGCACTGTTTTTTACCCAGTTCAGCCGCCATCGCTGATTGGGGTAGCAATTGTTGAAATTTAAAGAACGTAATAAATTCCTGTCGACAGAGGCAAAAATTTGATTTATTTGACCGAATTAACGAGGAATAAAAATTGTGCAACGATCGTAAAATGTGTAAAAACCTTCAGCGCGTCGAATATCACATCCATGACTTTGAGCATGCTTTTCAGAGTCGAGCCCCACTTCGCTACCGGAGCTATGTGGTACATTTTGCTGATTTTCTGATTGTATTCCGGGCGCTGGGACAACAATACGTAACTTATCGTCGTGCCCATCGAGTAGCCGTAATACTCGAGCTTTTGCGAGTCAGTCATGTCGAGTATCGTGTCAATTATGGCTGGTAAGTCGTAGATACCCATCTCGTGATAGCTGTAATCGGGGAAAAAAATTTTCAAATGATTGTTTAATTTAATTTTTCCCATCATGAGTTATAACGACTGTTTGGTCGTTTTTTCGTTACAATGAAATTAATAACTGTAATGTTTCTAATAACGAGACTGATATCCAAACGAAATAAATAGAATTACATCTCAATGTCTAGACCTTAAATATTTCGTTGGTTTTTAAATTTATGTGGCAAAACGATATCGATTCAATTGCTCGTCAGGCTTTGAAAATAGTTTTGCTTTTTCGAATTAAAATTTGATGCATATTAAATTGGCGAGGATAATTTTATGGCAATATTCGTTCACTGACCTGAATTCCCAAAATTGCTCTTCGGCCGGGTCCAGTTTGACATGAGCCCGAGAATACGTATTTCCACGAGTATTTCCAAGCCACACGTCCTTGCCTTGGTCAGCGAGTAAAAATGCTTTAACAAAAAAAAAAAAAAAATCGATCGAAGGTCAGCCTCTCTAAGTTCTACACGAGGAGTAGTGAAAATAAAAGAGAAAAGAGGGAAAGGTCCCAAAACTTACCAAGATCCTTTTCGGGACCCATGAGGATCCAACTGTCGGACGACAGCAGAATGCCGTGCTGCAAATAGACGGCCGGTTTCCCGGGAGCTTTGGGGCTCGATGGGCTGCCGCTGATTCTGTGCAGCGTCAATATATAGCCATCTTTCGTCGTCACTTTGTACTCCTCGGCCGTGTAACCATAATTTTCCGCCAAGCCGATCTGCAAATTTTCCCCGATTTCGAAGGGTTCAAAATTAAAGATAATAATCGTAATATCGACGATCGTTATACAAAGTATACGCGCTTCATCTTGAAGTAATCTGTTGACTTCTTTGCGACTCGAACGGGGCCGATAATTATTTGCTTCGTACTTTTACCAAAAACGCCAGATCCGTATCGTTATTATTGGCTTAAATATAAACTGGACATCATTGTGTCTCGGTCGGCGCGATAAGTCATCTGCGAACGTAATTCGCGCGCGTGGACTATGGAAACTTATTTAAACCCATAAATAACACCAAGAGAGTCTCGGTCCGTTTTAGCATACGAGACGAATTAACAGTTACATGTAACGCAATGCTCGCAGACGGAGATCATTTAAATGTCGACACGTGTAGCCCAGTTCTCGCGCTCTTTACGCGCGAGGCGATGGCTCGAAATTTAAAAAATTCAAAAAATTCGGGGAAGCTTGATTCAGCATAAAAAAAGCAAAAAATGTTGATGAAAATATGTAACTCACAAAATTGATCATTTGATAGGTGTCGGAGTCCCAATCCTGAGGATCCATCATCTCGGTCACGTGCTCGATGGGCATGTCGGCGCAATAAAAGTGGTTGAAAATCGGCACGGTCATCGACCACACTAGTCCCATCGCGGGAAACACGAACCAATTCAATACAGTGAGTTTCATGTTGATTTGCGGATCGGCCCACGCAAGCGATCAATTTTTGTCAAAAAAGTAATAAAATTTTCCTCCTTGGGGTGGGACGACTACGACGACGACGACGACGACGACGGCTATGGACACGACTTACTCGCACGCGGCTGACTGACTGACTGACCGATCTCGGCGGCGAGAGGCAATGTTTTGATTTTCGGACGTGTTTTGGTCACGGCACGCCGAAGCACACAGCACAGAAGCAGAAAGATAGAGAGAGAGAGAGAGCACCCCAGCAGCACAGCTGACACTCTTAAATACTATTGAAAATTTATACAACACGTCGAGTCGTTATAAAGTCGGAACTTGTTGCCACTGCCCCGCGCGCGCGATCCGTAACGATCATAATATTTTGTATTATAATGTATCTCTCTCTCTCTCTATGCTCTTCACTCTCCCTCTTGACGTGCGTGTGAGTGTGCGTTAATACATATTTAATGTGTGCGTCGATATTTACATAGATGTGTGTATGTTATAAAGTCACACAGTGGTGTATAGTACCAACGTGCTGCTGCTGGCGGCGCGTGTGGATGAGAGATATACACACGCGTGCGAACGCATTACCCCCTCTCAAATGTTTGTCTCTCTCTCTCTTTGCCCTCCTCTCTCTCTCTCTCTCATTCTCGTATGTGCTTTCGCGACGGTCTATCCGGTCTTTGCCGTTTGGCTCCTTTTCTCGAGTCCACGTGCGGCTGCCACGGCAGAAAACAGAGACTCGCAAAGATAAGAAAAAAAAAAGAAAAGAAAAAAAGTTCATTATCGCCCGCGCGCGTTCCTATATCGAAGAGAATCGGTATAAGAGAAGGTAGGCCCGTTCGCTAAACGAACTTAAAATATCATATAGGTGTCACTCCGAGCCGAGAGCAGTACGAGCCGGTATCGAATGTGGATAATTATATGCGGGTCTACGTTAGTGCAATTCGAGCGGCTCGCCGATATCGTTACTTTGATATACTTTAATAGCTGTGGACACTGCACACGAGGCATTTTTTTTTTTAATAATAATAATTATCTATAGGTCGAGCCGGGGTAAACTCGCCAATGTGTCTCATTACTGTTTTTGCTACTGCCTCGCGCGCCACGAGGTCTTGCGTAATTTCGTAATTATAACGCCACACGCAGCAGTAAGTAAGTAAGTAAGTAAGTAAGTAAGTAAGTAAGTAATCGGCGATCAGTGTCAGTAATTTTTCCGTTTGATGTTTTGCCTCGACATATAATATAATGCGTAATGCAGTAAGTAATCGGCCACGCGAGAGGAGATGCCTCGACTGCAAAAATATCGTCCTATCTCTGTCCGCGATGCGCACTCGTACATAATGCGCTTGTGCGAATCTATCTCATTCATATTATATAGGCGATGTCGTCGCTCCTGAGCGATGTGCCGCGGCACGTGCGCATCTATACGCGAACGATCTCGACATCCGCCAATCGATCCGCTGCTGCTACCAGTGCACATGGAGAGAATGTGTGTGAGAAAATACAATGTAAATCGAGGCGCGCGTGCGACCTCGATCGTCGATGTGCCTCGATGATGATGACGAAGACGACGACGATAACAGCTGCTGTTACTGCGCTAATCATCGTCATCAATCGCGACTCGACTCGACGACTGCATGTGCGCCTCTTCTCCGGCTGAACTTTATTATTATTTATAGTGTCAACGACTGGTATATCTCGGCTGCTACTGCCGACGCGCATATAAACAGCCTCCTTTACTTTCCACCGAGTATAGATCCTATACGCTCTTTCTTTGCGGCGTCTGTCCGGCCCCGGCGCACGCGTCCATTTTAATTTATTCAAAATGAAAAAAATTTTTTTTGCTCCCCACTGCTTCTTAAGGAATCTGCTTATACAACGTCCGACCAGACAAGACTAACAATACATTTCGTATCCGATACATCATTCTTATTTTAAGATGAGGAACGTCGCGTGTTCTCTCCTCTATACCTCGTAAATAAACATCAAAAGGATATTTTGACCGAAACTTTGTCGCCCGCATCGATGTACGCTGTAATTGCTCCGTTTTTTCACCTATACACTCGAATGCGCGAGTACTTGCGCGCCAAGAAGGTGCGAACGGGTCAATAAACTATATAAACTTTGAGAGAAAAAACCTCTCGCTATATCGACTCACCACACGTGTTATCTCCGAATTACGAGATTTTTCGTCTCGAATCGCGCGGCAGCTCTATTGCCATATTAACGCGTGTGACTCACGTGGAGGCAAGTGTATAGTGTAATTTTTATCGGCACAGCACAAAATGACGTAGGAGCTACTGCGGAGAGTTGAAAAAAAAACTAGTAATAATCGGTTTTCGTCAATATCGCTGACATTTTTTTTTCTTCAAGTCGCTCTTGGGTGAAAATGAGGAAAAATGCTCGAGAGAAGTTACTATACACGTGCTCTCTCGCTGGTATCGAGATACACGTGTTGAGGCGCCCAATACTCGATAGAATGTAGTAAAACATCTATTACGAGCAATTTTTCATTCACAGTCGAAGAGAAAATAACAACGTTCTTTTTATTGCTTACTCTCGTACAATCGCACGTAATCACTCAAGAGTTTTTCAGTTACATTATCATTTATCAAGTGCATGAATGACAGTTAACGATCGTATTTATTCGAAATATCGCGCGAGTGCATCTTTCTTTCCCGAGAGTGGACGTATTTTCAAAACGTAGCATTTGCATTACGGCCACACACACACATTCAAAAGTTCCGTAATACGGAATAAAGTTTTCGGTGCTTATTATCAATTAAAATTCATTTATTACATAACACCGTGGGCGCTCTTAATGCTCTTTTGATGTAACTGCAAAATTTCCGCGCGTACAGTTCGAGTCCGCACGAACGAGCGCTCCATTTAATTAGACTTTGGGTCAGAATTACGCTCGTTCGAGAGTGTGTTCGAAAAAAATTCTATGTAATAAAATTGTACGAAACGTATGAGTTTTTTTTTCACCGAGCACACATACAATAATTGTCAAAATTGATACGATCTTCGTTCGCGGTTGAATTAAAAATAAAATTAAACAAAAACCCGATGATGCAGATTAAATTCCCATTACATTCTGCGCGAAATAATAATTGTGTATGTGAATTTATCAACGAAGATAAGAAAGTAAACATTTCAAACATTGTCGAGAGCTAATTATCCTGAAATAAATCGCTTGATATAAATAACGAAAATAATTCGTTTTTCTTCTGCCGAAAAGAAAAAAAAAAATTTATAACCGATAAAAAAGTGCAACAACAAGAATGACAATTGAAGATCGTGTGTAGCTGTCGCACGCGGCTGCTACTATAATTTGTGAATTTTTTTTTTATTTCGTATCGAAGATAATACGATTTTCGGGCGGCGCGGGTCATTAGCGATAGCTTTTTCGATAAAAGTTTATATTTTGACTGCATTTCGGTAGCCTAGCGTGAAGAGAGACTATTTTTATCGTGAATCACGTTCTAAAATTGCCTTACATCACAGACGGTCAGCAACGCTCGAAATTCAATAAATTTCTCATCCGACGAGATCGAGTGGAAGTTTTGATTTAGACTGTCGATTTTATTTTAATCGAGATGAATATTAATTTCTCACTTGCTCGTTATTGCCCGGTCAACCGCACAAAATCGCAACCGATACAAAGTAGCTTTTTTTTTCAATAACGAGAAAAAAAATGCAAAGTAATTCGAACACCTATTCTTACAAGTTTGTGGAGGAGCTATTTTCAGTTGAAGTTGCATTTTATCGAACCGTTTCTTCTTTTCTTTTTATGCCGCGCGTGAGTTCATCGTGCAAATTATCGTGTATCGCGCAGAGAAGAACTGGGGGAAAAGAGTAACGAACGCTGCGGTGTGTGCGGTTCATTCGTTTCTTTTTTATATTTATATAACCATTATATTAGCATTTCGTGCAAAACAAATATTTGACACATGATATCATTACAATTTTTCTTCTTCCTGAATGAGCTTGTTGAGGCCTTGGCTCATTTCCATGAGCACGTCGAATTCGGTCAGGCCCAGGCGCCTGATGTTGCTGACGTCGTAGACGCCGCCGACGCTCTCGGTGTGCTCGCCCCCGGTGCCTCGTACCTTTGAAAATAAAAAAAGAAGAAGAAGGGGGTCAATTTTTTTTTAGCCTTTCCTTGGATGACAGAGTGGCCGCGATTTTTTAAACCCGAGCGCGCGCGCATGGCATGAGGGAGCTTAATAGCAATGGATGAATTGACGCAAATCGATCACGCACGAGAATGTGTAATGTAGCCGCGATTATGACTTTTTTTATTAATTTTATCGACTTTAATGTTAGAATTATGCCCATTATGTAAAGCAACGTAATGACGATTAAAGTTTATTGCGCAATCGTAGAGATTCACTAGCTCGTAAAGAAAAAAATAATTAATGATTATAAATAATCGGGGAAAAAGTCCAATATCATCGCGCGCAAGTTTCTTAGGCAATCGTCGTCGAGCATCTTTGTCGAAAATACTCGGCTTACTTGTAAACTGTATTGTTTGGCGATGTTCTTGAAGTTGTCCATGTCCTTGGCGAGCTTGGGCAGCTTGATGTGCACCGAGGCTCGGATGGTCGTGCCGAGATTCGTCGGGCAAAAGGTCAGATAGCCGAGGCGATCGTCGTGGCTGAACTGCACCTGCGACTCGAGCACGCCAATGGCGTTCTTGAGGCGGCCGTAGACGCCGCGCAGATCGTTGCCCTTCTCCATCGATATGAGCCTCAGATGGTCCTCCTCGCAGCACCAAGCCAGCAGCTTCTTTTCGGGATTATGAAAGATTCCTCGACCTGAGAGAGTACGACGAAAAAAAAACATAAGAACGCAACACAACTATGAGATATTTAAGCAAAATGATAATGTGCTGCTCTTCCAGAGTTAGAGAGAGAGAGAGAGAGAGAGAGTTTAATGAAACAAAGTGCACGTGACGGAATGCTCTTGGACGAAGAAGAGACTTGGCAATCAATGTTGCGTTTCAGTTTATCGTATCGCGCTGCTGCTCGTGTACGCGCGCGCGCCCGCCTGCCTGCCCTCGGATATTCACCAAGAGCCAAGAGAGAGAGAGAGAACACTGGCACCTACTCAGCTTGATTGAATATTTAAAAATTTAAGATAAAAAAAAAATGAGAGCGATTAAGATTGAAGAGAATGGAAGCCGAGTTTCCCCAGAAAGAGACCAAAAAGGAGGAAACTGTCGGGATGAATAGAGCTAGCTACGAAATCGCTGCTGCTTTGGGAAAATTCACTAATGACACGGCCTGGCGATGATGATTACTCGCGTTTTTTAGGCGGAGAGATGTTCAAATATTTGCTTTTAAACTTGTATGGGGATAAATTAGAAAAAGTCTCGGTTGTGAAAAATAATCAATTTGCTTTTAAAACAGACGATATCGATTAATTATAAGAAAATAATATTGATGCATTAAAATTAATCAAGCGCGAGACGAAAATAGAAATAATCGCTTAAAAATAATCGAAATTTAAATTAAAACTTTATTTTTAAATAATCACTTTTGCACTCTTTAAATAAACATACGCAACTTTTCAAATACAAATTAAAATTTAATTCATTTTACGGGTCAAAATCACCCAATACGCATAAATCACTAGAAGAGATTTTGCGGCTGCCGCACAAAAGCTTTACGTCTCTGTGTTTTTGCCTTTATGCTTTTTTGATAAGCGTGTGCGCGCGCGCGCGTACGCTCGGCGGTGATTCTCCTTGTATGTATGAAGCTTTCGAATCCAATTACTCGTAGCGATTTGCCGATTTTCCGGTTAGTGGATGCTTTTTTCTCTCTCTCTCTCTCTCTCTCTCTCTTGTAATCGAGAGAAAAGAAAAGTCGACCGGAGCTCTCTCTCGAGGAGCGGAAAAGAGACAGTGAAGCGATGATCGGATAATGGATACGATCGTATAGTTATATACAGAGTTTCATAAGAAAAACTCGTGGATTTTTTCCTCGTCGCGCGGAAAAGCTTCGATCGCTTCCAGAATGATAGATCTTCTTTGAAAAGAAATACACGTTGGGCGCTTTAACTTTTAAATATTTGTCCCTCTCACTGATATTTTTCACGAACGATTTTATAAATAAAAATAGCACGATTACGGAGATGACAACAGAATTAAAGCAAATCAAAGGCATTCTCCGCGCGAGATAGCGAAAATCGCTCGTCGAGTTTTCTTCCTTCGATGACCTTGGAGGGTAAGCTTTGCCAACGTTTAGTTTGTTAAGTATTATGAATTATCAGTTGCCGAGGAATAATCTTATCCATTAAAACGTAGAGAAAGAGAGAATTTCTTACCCCCGAGTTTAATCTACCTTATCAGCATCAGAAAGGAAACGCACTTTAAAAGTAATTAGAGATATTAATTTACGAAACAGCCGTGGCCAAAGCACAAACAATACAAAAAGTTTATAGCTTTCTTCGGCTGGGGGGCGGACGGCGAAAGAGAGAGAGAGAGTTAAGCCGGGAGCAAAAGTTTTACATCTTTCCGTTCAATTAAGTCGAGCTATATACGCTTGGCTTAAGCTCGTTATTATCTGCATCCCCGTTGCGTCTCTCTCTCTCTCTCTCTGAAACCCTTTGATACATCTATCGATGGAAAACAACAAATTTATACAAAAGAAAACGTTCGCGTTATTGCGTGAGGTCTTTTTATCATTCAGCTGCTCAATTTAACGACCGTCGTTTCAAAAAATCGTTGAAGAAAGTTTAGATTGCAAAAACGAATGAATGAAACAATCAATTTTTTTCTTAATTGCCATACGCGCAAAGCGGAAAAGATAAATAATAAAAAGTCAGTCATTATTCAGCGAGCCCAAAGTTTCGCGAGAGAGCATTAGAGAGAGAGAGAGAAATCTAAAATTTATTGCTACTTCAGTTGAATATAAAAGCGCGAGGAGTTAAGAGACGATAATGTCTCCGGAGACCTTTGCACTCGATACAACGAAATATCGTGGAGATTCACGTAAGCGATGATTTATTGCCTCTCGCGATAGGAGCGCGGCCAATTAATACTCGCGAGAATTTCATCGCGTTTATAAACAAAAGAAAAAAAAATAAACGCATGCGTAGGCCCCCCTAGTTTTTATACCTTTCGGCCAGAACTGATAGGCGTTGGCGTCCTCGAGGATCTTGTCGTCGTTCCTAAAGAGGAAGTGATCGGCGACCAGCTGCTGGCGCTGCTCCTCGGTCATCTTGTCCAGGCCGTAGTACTCGCAATTCAGCTCGGCCTGCTTCGTTCTGAAGGCGCACTTGAGCTTCTCCTGTATCTCCAGGTAGTCCTGCTCGGTCATGAGCGGACAGAAGGGATAGCCGCAGACGGACCTGGCGCAGCGCACCCTCGTCGAGATGACGTACTTGGACTCGGGGTCGATGCTGGGCAGCTTGGCCGGGTCGCCCCAGTTGCTCGGCGGGTGGACGTCGTTCTTGCAGAAGCCCACGTGATAGTCCGAGATGACGGCGTCGAAGAGCTCGGCGAACACCTTGTAGGCGTGCTGGTCGCAGGCGTAGAGGCCCACGTTGGACTCGGGATGGGTCAGGCCCGACTGGGCGCAGTCGAGCAGGGTGCCGTTCAAACGGGTGAAGTTTTCCTGTGATGCACATGCACACAACGCGATTATAGACAAAAAGTCGGGCGTCGTTTTTCATTGTAGTCGATGTACCTTGATGCGCTCGTAAAGGTCGCGAGTCAGGTATTTTTTCAGCAGCGACTTGCTGTCCTTCGTGAGGAATTTCTCGTACTCGCAGGCCATCTTCTTCATCTTCTGATTGCGGACTTTTTCCTGGTCCTGTCCCTTGTCCTTGGTGCATTTGCACTTTCTCTTCTCGCATCTCGACAAAGCTCCGTTGCGACTCATGATTCTAACGATAAGGTTTCAAAATTTTTTCAGTAAGTTTTAATCTTTTGAGGTTACGAGGAGACTTGAAAATTTAGGATGTTATGCGGCCGAAAGGTTAGCACGAAATGCGTACGCGACCGCCGCTGCCGTCCCTGTGTGTCTCCCCTCGTAGAGGCTCGCGTGTTTTTCGATCGATGTATTTTTTTTTCGATAAAAACAGACGAACGCCGAAAAGTCGCTCGACTCGCTCGAACTGTATATAAAAAAAAAAAAAAAAATTCATCCGACTTTTCGCGCATCGATTCGAACGATGTTTTTGCAAATATCGCATGGGGTCTCGAGCGACTGTCCACAAAACTTGCACGAAATAGAAATACAAGTAAATTTGTATTTTTTTCACAGTTATGCTCTTCGATCGATAGAACTTCTCTGTGTGCGGCTCTTTGAATAAAGAAAGCTTATTTTATGGTGTATTTGTATACCCACGTATCAACCCACGTATACATTTAATGTCGTTCGATTCACGAGCGCGTTCATCTCATTACACACGAGGTGACACTTTTTTTTCCTTCTCCCCCACACGCCTATATTTGAAACAATAATGACGTGAAAAAAGGAAATCATTTTTCTCTTGTGCATCCCTACGTAAATAATGTGTGCACGTGCAGACGCACTCACACACACATACATATTAGCTCGAACGAGGCAGCCAACCGGAAGTTACAATACATCATCTAGGCGACATACTGCGCGTCTTTTTTCTTTCTCGTTTGTATATTCTTTTGAAATATTCGCACGCGCGCACTGCTTTAGATGCAATCGAAGACACAGCTGTCATCAGTCTTACACCAGTCGAACCCGTATATAATGCAGTGGAAAAACATCGCAATTATGAAATTACACTCGAATTAAAGCTCGAATATAAAAAGCTCGACTGAAAAAAAGCACGAGACAAGATGAAGCGGTGTCGAATTTCTACCGAGCAAAGTCACATCGAGTTTTTACAGGTGTACGTAAAAATTGTCGCGTGCTTGTGTCGGATGCCGCGCTATTTTTCTCGTGCGCACTTTCGATGTAAAACGTTGTAAGATCGATCGAGCTGTCGTTAGATAAAAAAAAAGCCAGAAAAAAACTCGTGCATCGTGTACATTCGATGTACACGACGATTCTTGTCAACTTTGACGACAGTAGATTCATAATAATACATTATTTTTATTTTTGCACTTAATCGCCCGAGTCAATTCCAATAAATACGGTTAAAAAATGTCACACGTGCGAGCACTCGTCATAAAAGTTCGTAAGCTTATTTATTTTCATATACATATTTTTTTCGTCATAAACGCGTGTGCTCTCTTCTCTGTCAAAATTGATTAATATATACGAGATATATGAAAATAATGGATTCCGTAAAGACACAATACATACGTAAAATTAATTGGATATCAATCATTAACATATCGCGAATAAACGTCGACTAAATCCCGAAATCAAGTTATTAATTGCCGAGGCGAGACGAGAGTTTTGCGCTTGATGTAGCAGCCAATATTGGGTATAATAACAATTAGCGTAGGGCTATATAAACGACGATGGACCGTCATAACCTTCAACGTCTATTTGTTTATTTATAACAGACGCGTCATGACGTGAGTACGCGATAATAAATTATTCCCACAGGCTAGAAAAGAGTTCAAAATTTTTCGTTAAAAAAAATTATATCACATCGACGAGATCTCGCGCCGTGAGTCAAGTATCATGGACGACAACCGTTTGCACAAATATTACCGGAATCAGGGCTTCAGTTGGCGAACATTGGTGAGATATATTTCGCGAGATCGCAAGCTCGCAAAAGCACTCGTAAATAACGATACGCGAGGGTCAGAGGCTTTCGAGTGCGCACGAGTGAAATTAATTTTCGCTCGGCATCGTCGTCGTGCACTGCAAAGCGACAACTTTTGAGATGAAACGATGTTTTTGCCTCAGGTTTACAACTACCTGCTGACGGATCGATACTTCCGAGAGATATTCCATTTCGGGCCGTACTGCGGCCCGCTGACGGCCATCACCTGTCTGCTCGTTCTTCTGGTTCTCGTGTACACGACGACAGTAAGTATAGCTACGGAAGAATCATGAAAATCGATCGGTAAACGACGTCGTCATCGTCGCTCTTGCGGAAGGCCCAACGTGCATCGGAGCCCAGCACCCTTTTGTGTGTCAATTAAATGTGACGTGCAGAACAGCAAATGACCTAGGAGACACTTTGCAACCTGCACACAGAGCCCCTCGTTTTCTTCTTGCTTCTTTTTATTTATTTTTTTTTTTTTTTGTTGTCGTTGCACAACCAGCGAACGTGAGGAGGGCGAGGAAAAAAAAGAAGCGACAAAATACTCGAAACTCTAATTAATATACACAAGCGAATGCAGTATCTCGTTTTGCGATAAAACTAGGTCGACTTGTGTGCACATCTCGTGCGCTCGGATGCAACGACGACGACGACGACAATTTTTTTCTTCATCTTGCGCTGTACATACATACAACGTGTGTAATACACGCGATACTTTGTCGATACTCGTACTACTGCCTCTCGCACGCGCGGGATAGTTTTCTTTGTTCGAGTATATGTATGCGTGTGCACAGAGAAAGAGAGAGAGATCGATATCGAGCACGCTTTCTTGAATTCTCCGCAATCTTCAAAAAAGGTTCTCTTTTTTTCCGCTGCTGCAAAAGCTCTCTTCCGCAATCGCACAGAGGAGTAGGAGGAGTAGGAGGAGTAGGAGGAGGAGAGTAATGAAAAACTATTATTCCAAGTTTCCACAATGGCAATTAGAGAAATAAAGAAATTTTGCAAATATTGCGCTCGCGCTGATAAAAACTTGAAATTCTAACGAGCTCGCCACTGCCCCCCTTTTCTCTCTCGCATGAGAATAAGAGATCTTGATTAAACTTTAGAGAATAGTTTTATTTTGGAAAAGAAAGAGAGAGAGAAAAAAAAGCAAAATCGTATCGCCTTGGTCCAAAGTGGCGAAACTCATATAATTGGATCTTTCGAGAGACTGCAAAAAACACACACATTGTGCATTCGCAGACACAGGAGTCGTTAAATTGAAAACATCGGCTCACAAAAGTCAGCGCAGCAACAATTATGGAAAATTGAAGGCAGTAAAAGACACAGTTTTTTTATCTGTCATTGCAAAATATTAGATTTACAAAGCGTTCGAATAACACTTGGCCTGCTGTTGCAAACGCAAACACACGTATAATCCCTCTCGTGGTAGCGTGGTAGTGGTATAGACAACGGGAGCAACAGCAGCGGCGCGCGAGTTTAACCGTGCGTGCGGCGATGCACACGAGGCCGGGCGACGTTTATAAGCTATTCAGTGTTCAGCAAAATCATCAAGCCGCGCTGAATGAACTCTGGGGGCTGCTGCTGCTGTATATATGGATGAACAACAAAGAAAAGCCGGTGGCAGCAGCAGCAGCAGCAGCAGCAGCAAGCACACCTCGACGAAAAAATTGAGGCAAGTTTAAAAAAAGAAGAGTTTCATACATCACGAGAGAGAGAGAGAGAAAGAGAGAGAGGCAGAGCAATGGAAACTTTAATACGCCAGCCCTTTTATATGCTGCTGTTGCGACTGCTGCTGCTTGCATCGCTGCTGTAGACGTATGCAACACAGCAGCATATGTGTGTCAACAACTACCTGGTCTGTGCTGCTGCTGCTATGAAAAGGCCGCAGCACTGCACACATACACGTATAACCGCACCTGCACACGTGTGCAATGTTGCGGGGGTGGAAGGCCGATGTTATATTGCGCGCGCGGTGAGAGATTTTTCTTCTTTTTCTTCTTCGTCTTTTTTTCCAAAAAACTCGGCCTTTTTATATACGGCCTCTTATCGCGCCATCGCCGTGTGTCGGTGTGCGCATCGCCTCTTCGTATATATGTACGCAGTATGCAAAATTGCGTATGCGAGGGGGCAGAGAGAGAGAGAGATTTCTTCTCTCGTCTATGTATACGTGAATGTGTCAGACTGCATTTTTAAAAAGTAATATAGCACATGATCTCGTGCGACTAGCCTGGAATTGCCTCTCTTCGCTGGAAAATCTTTCGGGATTAATTCACGCTTCTCTGTGTCTCGCTCGAGTGCAATATACCTTTTTTTAACGATTAGCTATTTAAAAGTAAATGAGAAAAATTTCATCCTTTCGATCGAGTTTTCTTATTCAGTTGCTGCTTTGCTTTGTATTGCAGAGCTGGTCGATCTTCTTGGTCAACGTCAAGAGGTACAACGATCTTCGTGGCAGCGTAGAGAAGGTAATATCGTTACGATCGAGTTTTTTTTTGTCTAAACGTTACAAGCATGAAAGTCTGTCGTTGTCAGAAGGTCCCCACTCAAGACAGTGTGCAGCAGTTGAAACCTGGATACGTTTGTATCAACAAACACGTGAGTATTTTCCAAGCGACGATTGAAAATTAATTGAAATGATAATCGAATTATCGTTGCTAACTTTGCAGCTCATGCAGGCGGGCGTATTTCTCGACAAAACGCAAAAAGTCGTAAGTGAACAACTAAATCGACATTTTTCTAATCGACTAATTGAATTTCGAATCGTTTTTTTACGTCGATACTTTTTATCCAATAACACAGCTACTGAAGGAACAAATGGAAATTGACATGTTGAATAGCCGAATGAACAGCATTTTCGAGCTTCTGCAACCATCGGTAAAAATTTCCCTCCACTTCTTTTTAAAAATAACTCAATGATTTCTAGTAACCCAAATTTTGCATTTTATTCAATTTAATTTATTTTCAAGGAAAAATCCGGCTCAAAATCACACAGAGATATTTATAATTTCGATTCGTCTCTACAAAAAACGGAGTTCATCTAGGTAATGCTGCGAATTAGTAACGATTATATTGTTTTCAAAATGTTTCAACCTTTTTTATCAGAAAAATTAATGAAATTAAAAAAATAAATCATTGAGAAATGCCAAACCTAGATAGACATCGTAAATTTTCCGGAAAGTCTTAGTTTATATTCCCGTACGTTTTCGAAAAACAATAAAACGAAGACCTTTAAATATACTTAAAAAATCACTCAAATTTTAAAATTAATTTTATTTTGCGTAAGTGAAATAATTAGCAAACATATAGGAATAATAAATAATGGAAAAATGTCAGTGGTCAAATTATCATTTTAATGTTACTTTATAATTACAAACGAACAACTTTTTTCCCTTGATTCTTTCAAAGTTGAAATTAAAAAAAACTGAAAATATTAAATCATACTGAAAAAATGCTTATCGACATTGAGAACTCTGATCCTTTGCCGCCAAGAAAATATACCATAAATCTTTGTTCTTGAACGATTCGTCGATGATCAGTCTGCAGCAGAGAATCGGCAACTTGTAGCGCGTCAGCTTCAAGAAAGAATCCAGTGCCCATCGTCGAAAAAAATCTCTGGACAATTTCTCGCACAGATGATCTTCTTCGCGCCAATGTTCTGAGTTCTCAAACAATTTATGCTTAGCAAATAATGTCATGATCGTCGCGGCATCGCTTCGTTTCAGCTGGTATCCATTTTTCTCCAGATACCCGACGACGGCCAGGAGGCAAGACGTTAGGTTCAATTTAAAATCCATCGCATGATCAATTTCGTGAAGTTTCGATACCTCGAAGAGGTGACTCGCCCTGGGGACAACGAATTCAGACAGATCAGCCCCATGATCCACGAGTACATCGATCGCGACCGGCAAGAGATTCGCCACAGCCCATTGAATCGGTGTTAGACCCAATTGGTTCTTCGCATCGACCTGCACCGGCTGATGTCTTTCGTCGTTGATCGTGAAAAATAGATTCATCAACTCAACAGCTTCACTTTCACATTCGAATTGATTCTTTTTAGAATTCTGGCAAATGAAGTGCAGAGGAGTTAGTCCCTCGTCGTTAGCCAAATTGGGATTGGCGCCATTTCTCAACAATAATTCCGTCACTTTTTTGTGGCCATGTTTCAGTGCCAAGTGCAGCGGCGAATCGCCCGTTAGGTAGTCGAGGCAATTCGGATCCTGTCCGACTTCGAGAAATCTCTTCACGACTTGGTCGCAGCCAGTCATGCAGGCCACGTGGAAGTGCGTCAAGCCCATATCATCGAAATAATTCAAGTCGTATCTGTCGTATACTCGAAATAGATCAGCAACGAGGCTGTAATACTCGCGTTTAGCCGCGAGATGCACCGCTGTGGTACGATGTAATAGTGGTTTGCCGTCGCCACCAACGTCGGACTCGCCCCTGTAACCGTTTTCAATCACAAAATCTATGAACGATGAACTTCTGGGCCTACAATGCATCCTTGGGTTGGACTCCATACTTTTGACCATCTCATACTCCTCGATGAGAAGCCTGTCAATTTCTTCCTTTTTAAAAACATCTCGAAGATCTGGAAATTGTCCCTCCCAAGATTTGATCAAGTCGTCGAACTTATAGAGAAGGTTAACTCGTTCATGTGGAATCTCCCAATTGACACTTTTTCGTAGTTTCCTAAATGTTTCTAATTTTGATGGTGGATTTTCCATGATCGTGCTAGCTTGGCTGCGAGTTATGGGCACCTTTCTGCGCACTCACACGCAACAAACAATCGCTTGTAATCTGAGATATTTTTTACTCTTTCACGTAAATCACTCGTTGCCAATAGATGTGATCTCACTTTGTCGTTTGTACTGCGGCGTCGTAACGTGTACTGATCAATGTAATATGCGACTCGCACGAACACGCACAGCGCTACGATGAAACAGGCGAGCGAGAGAGAGACAGACGTATAGTATAGTACGGCATTGACGTTACAAAGGATTGAGCGCCGAGCGCAATTCGTCTAGTCATTTAGAGTTGCGTGCCGAAGTCCGGAGGGGAGGGGAGCGAGCTGACTCTCAGCAATTTAGGCCTTCCATTAATTACGTAAGGGGTTTTTTTGATTTTTCCGACCCCTCCCCCCGTCACGTAAGTGATTTTCCTGCCCCTCACGACATGGTGAGTAAGAAATTTTGACACCCCCCCTCCCCCCAAAGACCCTTACGTAATTAATGGAAGGCCCCTTAGTGCCGAGACCGACCAACTATTCGCGGAGTGAACAGCTTCTTGTGCTTGGAAAATCGAAGATGATTTCATCATTTTTAACTACTCAAATTCTTAACAATTTATCTTTTTTGGATCTTTAAAAAGTGCAGATCCATTGGAACCTACTTTAGAATTTTATTTATTCCATTACCGCAAAAAAGGTCTTGCTGGGTAATTTTTTTCAATTTTCCAATCTATTCTTATGTCTACATGCAATGACCCGATGTACGCACGTGTGACTGATTTTTTTTCTGTTGTATTTTACAGGTGCACGTGCATATTGAAAAATGTCTCGGTGTAGTTGAAAAACTTTTTGCGTTTCTCACTCGAATGTCTCGCGTCTCTCAGCAGAAAAAAAAGTACTTGGCAACGAGTTTGAAGATCCAAGCAGAGGCGACATTTGTCCCATGCGCTGCTGTACACGATAGCCCTCGAGCTTCAGTTTTCTTCTTTTTATTTTCTATAATGTATATTTTTTTTTATCGCGAAATCAAGTTTAGACGTGTTTTTTTTTCACAAATCTCTTCATAACTTTGCAAATTGTACAAATGACGAGTGCAATTTTTACGTTATTTTTTTCAGATGTATTTTATTTTCGGGTATCGTCGCTTCATTTTTTTGTCATTTTACGCAAACAAACAGTCGTGCCAGAGCATAGAAATTCACACGAAAACAACACGCACCGTACGCGCGAACGCAAAAAATCGTTGTAATTTCGTTTCGAAAAACAGCGCACAACAGTCGAAAATAACACTTGGTTACAGGTACGCAGAAAGAAAAAAAGAGAGATAAAAGAGACTTTGCAATGGGTTACTTTATATACCGTACGTGCCACCAGCAGCACCGCCACGAATTCATCATAATAGCTTATATATAGGGGGAATAGGGTTCCGTTGCACACACACACACGAGCGACAAAATTCGCGCACAGACGGAATGCATTAATCGTGAGCGAGCTGCGCCGTTCGAGTATTGGTATGCTTCAACAGTCGAGCTCTGCTGCTGCTGCTGCTGTGTGTGTGTGTGTGTGTGTGTGTGTGTGTAGGTACGAGCCTACCACGTGAATTTGTGCAGAGACGCGCCGCACGAAGAGTAAATCGAGCGAACGGAGTGTGGCAAATTGTGCGCGCGGCACAACCGAATGCAGCGTCTCGGGCAAAACGGGAAATTAGGCGTCGCACGCCTCGATTGCATCCATTCCCCTTCGCTGCCGACGCTGCTGTCAAATTCGATCGTTTACATGGAAGGCTAAAGCTACAGGTATGCATTAATATTTTAGCATTATCATCGTAAACAGATATAATCGGTCAAAAACGATACACGTCTCATCGCCGCAGTATCGTTTTTGTCAATTAGTGCAAAAATTTGGGAACACGTGGACATGCTTTGACAAAAAATTACATTTAGAGTGTTCAGAAAATCCATACATTTGTCCCTACGTCAATTGTTTGCAACATCTTCTTTTATTAAAATCATGGTAATCAAGTTATTAAGTATACCTTACTTCTAAGGTTGAAGTGGGGCGGAAATTAAAAAATTCAATTTTATAAGAGCAGCAGCAAGATGTGAAACTTCTTTTTAACGATAATTCAATTGGTTGATTTGCTTCAGCTTTAGATAAATTGTTCTTCAGTCGTTCGTTAATGAATGTTACATCTTACAGCTGTTCTTATACAGCTGATTTTTTGAAATGATTTGAAATTATTAATTGAACTTGTTTATTTTGTAGAAAAATCGATACTCATTTATTTATTCGTTTATTTGAAAGATACAGAAAATTTGTTACATTTAACAACGTCAGATATCAAAAAAGATACTAATGGGCCATATAGAACATCATCTTTTTTGCTTATGTTATTAATTTCATAATCAGAATAAAAAAAGAACCTTCTTAATTTTTACGACATTCATAGTGCATGCATTCATAGTGGAACTTTTCTAGCTCTCGCGAGCTAATTTTGTTGCACTTGATATTGTATTTTTTCCCTACTCTCATCGCTTTGTGTAGTGGCCGCCAAGCAAATGTGGTATAAATCTTTGTTACTCAGCCACTCGATGATCATGCCACAGCAGAGAATTGGCAGCCGGTAGTGCAAGCTTTGCTCCCAGAAAGGATACAGTGTCCAGCGTCGGAAAAATTCACACAGATGCAAGACACAAGCGACGTGGTGAGGATTATACAGTCCCTTAAACGTTTGCGAGCACTCAAACTTGTAGTAGTCCGTATATGTGAGTAGATTCGCTGCCTCTTTTGGTTTTAATTGGATTAGATCGTAGAGATACAGATTTGGGATTATCCTTATCTCCTTTGCTTTGCTCGTAAACTTCTTGTTGTCAAGTTCAAGATTGACGCTCGTGTCGAACGCTCCGTGCTTAGCGAACAGTTTCATGATCGTCAGGACGTTACCGAGTTCCAAGGCGTATCCTTTTTCCTCTAGGCACTCGACGACGGCCATAGCGCCAGACACCAGTTCGAAATTAAATTTATAATTAAATTTATAAAAAGTATAAGTAGGACAAGGTTTGAATCTCTAGTCGAAGTGACTCTCGGTCGGGAAAACGAAGCTCGACAGATCAGCCCCACGATCGAGTAGTAGTCGGACCACATCCGGCCGAAGACACGACACGGCCCGTTGAAGCGGTGTCTGTCCCAACCCATCCCGGGCGTCGATGTGCACCGTCCGCTGCAAGTCATCGCAGACCTTGATGAACGATTCCGCCACGCCATCCATGCCTTTCGATGTCAGACAAATCACAAATCACGTGCAGAGGAGTCTCTCCCTCGGCATTGGCTAGATTTGGATCGGCGCCCAGTCTCAGCATCAATTCAGCCGTCTTCTTGCAGCCTTCGGCGAGAGCCACGTGCAGCGCCGTCCAACCCTCGTTGTCCCGAGCATCGACCAGCACCGGACGATACCGCTCATTGCTCAGCTCGAACAACATCTTGGCCGTGCTCTCCTTGTAGATGATGTGCAAAGGTGTCAATCCCTGTGCATTGGCCGAATTCGGATCGGCATCTCGTCTCAACAGCGTTCGATGACTCCATTGAATCCGTGTTTCACGGCAAAGTGCAGCGGTGAATCGCCCGTTCCTGGCTGGATGCCATTGGGATCCTGGCCGAGCTCGAGGAATCCTCGAACGACGTCCTGGAGGCCCTGCTTGCAGGCCACGTGATAGTGCGTTAATCCAGATTCGTCGATGTAATTCACGTCTAATCTGTCGTATATTTTGAATAATTCAGCGTCGAATGAAGAAGCGATAGAAAGAAGATGCACTGCAGTGGCGCGACGAACGAGAGGCTTGCCGTCTTGATCTAGCGTGGGCTCGTCCTTGTAGCCGGTGCGAATTGCAAAGTAAATGAACGACGAGGAATGCCTCCACACGGACTCCTTGAGAAGCCAATCGATTTCATCGGGCCGAAAAATGTCTCGGAGATTCGGGAGTTGCTGCATCCAATTTTTGACCAAGGTATCAAGTGGACGGAAAAAATAGCGACGTTCTTCTTCAATCTCCCAGTTAATCGCTCGTCGCATGGTTTGCAATTTCTCCAAACGGGTTTGATCGACTTGGGGCATGTTTTTGCGCAGTATACACGCCAATGCAATCGCTTATAATTTGAGATATTTGCTCCTTTTCACAAGATTCACTCGCAGCGTCGCAACGGACAACTGCTACAACCAAGGCCGTAGCCAGCGGGCGGGGGATTTGGGTGTCAGAACCCCCCCCCCCCCCCCCCNNNTCAGCCCCCCCCCCCCCCCCGAAATTTGGGATTTTACCTTCTGTTAATGGTAACCCAAGCTACATAAGTAACCCGGGTAAACCCCCCGAAAAAATTTTCTGGCTACGGCCCTGGCTACAACTTTCACCGAGTGGGAGAAAGACAGAGATACAGTCGCCAAGTGACAGGAACGAGTGACCGTACAGTAGTCGCGCACGCACGTGTTACCCACAGACTCCCTAGTGAATTACTGCTTTTTGATAAGCTTCTTGGTGGCTCCGTTTGGCTACGTTGGGTTGTCAAAATTATCCCGATGACAACTGGATCTTATTGGATCGTCGCGATAGAAATTAGTGTCGCGCACCAATGAGCGAGATTGAAAGTAGAGGTTAGTAAATTAACTTGGTTCTAATTGCTGTCACTCCGCTTGGGACTAAGGCTCGAACTGAACGCGTCTAATACTTTCACTCGAGACATTAGTAGCGCCTATGCTATGCGCTTCTCGTGGCGCATCGCACATGCGCCGCCCGCGTAAAAAAAAAGATATTTGAAATAACTTTTCAATTAGATGGTCTCTGCGACGAGGCCCACACAAAAAGTCTGATAATTTGTTACATTTTCAATCATTGCGATTTTTTAGCTCGAAAAGGGACATCTTAAACGAAAAAATGCAAAGAACAAAAACGTCTTAGAATTAGTTATGGAATACGTGTACATTTTTTTAGATTCTTTTCAGACAATTTTATGAATTATTAATACTAAAATTGTTAATCATTTTTTTCAACACGTTTTCGAAACAACAAGTTTCATATTTGGATTCAGTGAGTAAAAATACGTCAGAAACCATTTTTCGTTTGCGTGGACCTCAATCGGCCACGGAAAACTCCTCAGCGTCTAGACTAATCCGTATTGAAAAAATCAAATTTTATATTGTTTTGCGAGCTTTCGGTCATGACCCGCTTTCACGAAGGCTCCAAAGTCAATACTTGTTAAAATTATCATTATTGTTAAGTACAAGGGAGCTAACTGCATACTCGCCGCCGCCGCCACTGCAGCAGAGCAGCAGCATTGCCGGAGGCGTAGGTGGATGCACGCGGCATTACCGCGACACGTAATCACTGCGCCGAACAATTAAATCACTTGTGTGTGTGTGCGTCGTGTCGGAGAAATTACAACAACGACAACAACAACAACAACAACAACAACAACGGCGTCAGCGAGAGAGTCCACGAGCAGTTTGCATGATTCAAAGCATACACACATGTACATATCGAAGTCGATTAAATTCACGAAATTGAGATTTTAATCACGCGTCGGGCCCGCGCGAATAAATATTATTCGCATACCGATTCCAGAGATAGATTACATTCGGCGCGCGTTATATACGTGTATTTCGCGCGATAGTCGCGGGATTTCCGGGCTCGTTAATGCACGAGGCCAGGAGTGAAAATTATACGTATGTCTCTGTTTTCGAACTATGAGCACAAAATTACGAATCAATTTTTATTATCGTACTCATCTATTGCATATTCACCAATTAAGACGTTCTACTAGGATTTCCAGGTTTTTTTTTTTTTTTTTTTTTTTTTTGAAAATGGAGAATTTTTTGTACGAAGCTTTTTCCAGTAAAACATCCTCTTCACTCCTACCAGCTATTTATGCCCACAAACAGGGCAATACGTGAGTATGTACGAGAGTGCTTATACGTTCGCGGTATACGATGCAAACAATAACATTACGGCTTATTTTGGCCCCGTAGCACTGAATAGATGCCCGTACGCACTCTCGCATTGAACCAGCTCTCGCGTCGATGCGTATGAAAGACTTCCGAAGGAGAGAAAAATTAGCAGCTCGCGAATACGTAGAGATGAGTGCGTATCGCGATTATTAATTTGCAAGCTGCGCGCGTGTCCATCGATATAATACACGCGCTGCATCGACGCCGCGCATTGATCATCACACCGTTGTTAGGCGCATAAATTACAGCCCTGCTGTCACTAATTCGTACCCTGCACCGATATATTCAAATAAAGCAGCGAATCGAATATTATATATAAAAAGGGGCGAGTCAACATCGCGTGAACGTTGAAACGAATTTCAAATTCTGGATGCAGCGTAGCACCTACCTACATAGCAAAAGCTGCATTACATGCCTTGCGCAGAAATAATATCGCGCGGCGCCGACGACGACGGGACATTGTGCGCGGAGGCGTGTATAATAATAATTACAGTAACAACAATAATAATGACGATAATAATAATAATAATAATAATGATGTTTCGTGTAATGCGTGTGCATGTGCACATACATACATACAAGTTTGCGGTATTGTATATGCACATGTATACACATGCACACCGCGTACTACACAGCTGAAATATACATAGATATATAATACACGCACTGCCGCACGTGGAAAAGGACTCGGTTGGAAAAAAATGAGATTTGAAAGACAGCTGCAAAAAAGTCATTGTTGAAGCTCGTCAACGCGCCGCCTCGTGCGCGTGCACACACACACACACACACACACACACACAAGCGCGCGCACACACATGCACAGACACAGAGTCAGAAAAAGCTCGCTGTGCCGAGTGAGAGCTGCTGGGAGAGAGAGAGAAAAAGCAAAAGTTCAGCAAAAATATACGCGAGCGAGCTGAAATTTTCAACGCATACATTCGCTGCAGGTTTTCCGAATGAAAGAGCAAGAAAAGCTCGCCCGCTAGCTGCTGCTCACTGTCTGAGCTAACCGAGTATATGGGAATTTCGTGCACAGTGTGTGAAATTTACGATGACGACGCGCAACTGCTCTCTCTCTCTCTCTCTCTCTCTTCTATTGGGAGTGGTGCACACACACACACACACACACACACACACACACATACATATAGCTGTAGAGAGAAAGAGGAGCTTTTCATCCGCATATGCGCGCTTGTGCGATATCTGTCGATGATGACGATATTGTTGTTGTCGGCTGTGTGGCAGCGGGGGATTTCCCGTATTATTCTTCGGCCTTGATTTTTTTTGTCTTTCCGATAAACGTTTCACGCTGTGATAATTGTGAGCGGAGCCGAGCCTTTTGTATATATAGGATCTTTCGATCGAAGTTTTCATCTGGGTCGATCGAATACAACTTTTTTCACCTGAAAAAGCTCGCATTCCTCGATCGCTGAAAATACATCGATATATAATTCCGCGATAAGGACGACGAGGGGCAGGGTAACAATACGACGTACTTTATTAACTTTTTCAATACGATGATTATCTTATACTTGTGCGGCAAGATCGCGGGCATAAATAGTATATAATACCGAGTCGTGCTGGTACGCGCGTTATCAATAGCCGAGCTTTGCGACTTGAAATATTAAAAAGGAAACTTTCTTCGGCTCGGCGCCGTTCGGATAATACGCTGTTGCATGACACGAGCGTATTAACAAATAATCAGGCGCCGCGAGCGAGAACACATGCTCGCGAGCACTAGACCAGTGTTTTCTATATACCTATATTGCCGTATACTTATCGATTGCCAATAAATTTCAGATTTTTTTCGTCCCTTGTAATTCGGGTATATAGTCCTAGGCTAAGCTACCGAGAGTGGCCGCGTCCAACCCGTGTGCTGGCAGCTGGGGGTTGGGGCAAACTCGATGGCTAATGGATGAGCCACCACCGCCGCCGACGAGGAAAAAGTCACGTTCGGTAAAAGCGTAATTCGACGAGCTAATTAGCGCCGAGATACGTTATACCGTGTGGAATCGCGACACCCCAGGATTATTACTCGAGAAGATAGGCCCAGGAGATATAGCCCCAGTCATTGCCTAGGAGAAAGTATACGTATGGCCGCGCGGTATAATCTTTTCGACTCGAATAGCTTGCACACACAGATAGATAAGTACAGAAGTGGCTCGAGCAGTCGATATTTCACGTACGCGCGTAGACACGCAAGCTCGAGCTCGTCCTGCTGGTGGAGCGCGTATGTATACGTCAGGCAGGTCTTTAGCCCTAGCGTCGCTTAATATTTCAGTTGGCCGCTATCGGCGCGAGTCTAGCTGTGTAGATATACGTCTACACGCATATACTTCTATCTATTATATATATGTACTGTGGCGAGCTCGTCTGCCAACTTGTACGAGTCGCCATCATCGAGGGCCGCGACCTGTCCGTACGAGGTCTTTGCCTCGAGCAGAGCAAATACATCGCGTCGCTCGGTTGGCTGCCTGTTTCGGCGAGACGGAAGTATAATACACAAAGAGTCGTCGTCGGGCAAGGATCGCTGGCTAGGAAATATTGCGAGCTCCTTCCTAGAGTAGCTCGTGCTCGCGGGAAAACAATAACTCGCCCGAGAGAGCTTGCGCATTGATTTTTCGCTCGTGCCGTAGTACGTGTTCTCGAGCTCGAAAGTCGTCGGCTTTGCAAGCTCTGGTATGCACCTAATAGAGAGAAAAAGAGAGAGAAAGAAAGAGAGCATAATGACACTTTTTTTTGTATAGCTGCCGCGCACAACTACTTACTGGCGACAAATTCATTCATTCACACGTATGCATATTTATAAAAAATGTACTCGCCCGTTTGTACGCGTACATATAGAGCTAGCTGATATACAGATATATAGATAAGTAGCTATATTTATACGTGCATGTGAATGCGCGCGAGGCACGTATGTGTGTATTGTAGCCGCGCGCGTGGGACACAATACACGTGCTGTATGGCTGTGCGTATATATAAGTACGAAGCGAGCGAACGAAATGACTAAAGTGCCTTTTTAGCCAGAAGCTAGTTGACACGCTTTAACTGTAATTTACTTCTTAGTAGGTATACATGTAGGTACGCGCGTGCCACAGCAGCAGCTAGCTCGGCTCGGC